GGAGGCCAAGGCAAGAGGACTATTTAAGCCCAGGAGTTCAAGACCAAACTCAGCAACACGGTGAGACCCTGTCTCCACAAAAAAATTCAAGAAAGTATTAGCCAGGCATGGTAGGACACATCTGTGGTCCCAGCTACTCAGGAGGCTGAGGAGGGAGGACTGTCCAAGCCTAGGAGGTTGAGGCTGCAGTGAGCCATGACTGGGCCACTGCACTCCAGCCTAGGAAACAGAGCAAAACTCTGTCTCCAAAAAAAAAAAAGACTTGGGACAAGTAACTTTAGGAAAATTATACAGCAGAAATTGTTTTCATCACAACCAATTCATCATAAAACTCAAATGAAACCGGGAGCCACAGTGGCTCCGGCCAGTTGTCCTGGCGCTTGAGGAGGTGAGGCTATGAGCAACAAAACTCAAATAGGCCAAGCTGAGCAACAAAACTCAAATAAAACCTATTTTGCCAGAACCTATCCAAATATGTAACAGAAAGCAACAAATTATAAAGTATTTTCAATTAGACAAACCATAACTACTTAGATATAAAAAATATTCTCTTGACGTGTATCATAACACAGTAAAATAGTGAGTTTTTAATTAAAGTTATTTTCAAATTATGACTTTCTAAAAGATACACTATTAGTAACATTATACTTTTCAGCAACAAACGTTGTGATAAATTATTCACTGATACTGAAGAAAGATGTGAGGTAAGAATCAAAATTCTGATGTGCATCCTGCTTTCAGATGCTTTGACAATACTATTGCACTGCTAGCTGTAAAGTACAGTAGTGCAATAAAGTCAGAGCATTCGTTAGCAGTAATAAGTAGGAAAGAAACACAAAAGCACCTTGCATCAGTTAAAGCTTCAGTGTGAAACGAATTTAAAGTAGGATTGCCATTTTGAACAGAAAACATCCAAAACCAAAAAACATTTATATTCAAAGTTTTTTTTAAAAGGATAAGACTTAAATATCAAAGTAATGTTGCTTATTGATGCCTAATATACAAATTAACATTCAAACAGAAACATGCATTGATGTAGAAAGGAATGTTGTAAATATGCCCTAAGCTTTAATAGTCATTAGAATGGGTATTGTTGGCTGGGCACGGTGGCTCAGGCCTGTAATCCCAGCACTTTGGGAGGCCGAGGTGGGTGGATCACGAGGTCAAGAGATCAAGACCATCCTGGTCAACATGGTGAAACCCCATCTCTACTAAAAATACAAAAAATTAGCTGGGCATGGTGGCGCGTGCCTGTAATCCCAGCTACTCAGGAGGCAGAGGCAGGAGAATTCCCTGAACCCAGGAGGCGGAGGTTGCAGTGAGCCGAGGTCGCGCCATTGCACTCCAGCCTGGGTAACAAGCGCGAAACTCCGTCTCAAAAAAAAAAAAAGAATGGGTATTGTTAATACTTGAGGATTGGTAATAACAAAACCGGTTATAATTACTACTAAGGCAAAGTTGTAAAAAATAATTCTGTTCTCTGCAGAGATATTGGTTAGCTCCTTCTGCAAGGCAATTTACTAATTAACTGCCACATAAAACAAGTCCTTTGAATAAAAGTATCAAAGAAAACAAATGGAAAGTAAAATAAGTTTCTCAATCTCTACCTAATCTAACACTCTGGAATCTAACCCACAACACAAAGAAAACACAAAAGCACTTACCATCTTAGGCTTTTTATCTCGAGTTTACTAAAGGCCATTATAACAATGGAAGGGAATCAATGTACTCTAAACAGGACATGAACCCTATCTAAATGAATACTATCCAAGGGGATTTTAAAATTTTGGTTAACTCCTGAAATCTTAAATATAGCCAGAAAGCATCCCCATTTTCTTCAAACTTAGAAATATCAAGAGAAAATGATAATAGGGGGAGGTGGGACTGAGATTCAAGTAACAAGTTTCCTCAGTTCCAAGCTAATTAACATTCTAATTTTTTAACAGACAAGAACCCAATCAGAAGTCAGATGTAAACCCGGAAACAGAAATAGTATCATAGTATCACACTGTATTACCTTTTGTGTGTAATCCCTAGTAGTTTCAGGAAAGAAGGAAGCTAAACAAATACCACTCTATCAATAAGTGAAGAGGAAAAAGAGAACAAAAATTGCCCTACAATAAGCTTATTCTCCCATTAATAATGTTGATTGATGCAAAAATACATTTCCATTATTTTCGCCAACATCTCTTTAAACGGTCCAGTTCAACTACTTAGTCGAATTGAGCCTACTAAGAAATGTACTCATATTAAGGACAGCTGAAATATGTGTCTTGGTGTCAAATCCCAGGCCACATAACTCAAATATCAGGATGTTTACCTCTAGTAGCTAAGTATCAAGTTTATAAAACAAATTTAAAGAACAAGTGTTTTCTGAATTGGAAGTTATTACAAACAAGAAAAATGTGAAAAAAATTTAAGGTATCAACAAAATTAGGATAAACAATTTCTTTTCAAATTAAGTATTATGTATTCTCTTTTTATAAATTAAATAGTCAGTGCTAGTTCCTTGACGAATCCTTTATTAATTGATGTAAAACCAAAAATCAGAAGATAGCACAGGAAATCATTTACCCTTAAAATCTTAGAAACTAAGCTGGTCCACAAGCATAACATTTTTTTCTAAAAACACACAGCAAATCTGAAGATGAGATGCACTTTTTTCTGCTATCAAGTCTCAAAGCAGTAATATTTAAAGCCATGATAAAAATTCATTTTTAAATCCTAATAATTATGGAAACTAATGAACTGAAAGGGAAAAAAGCTACCACTAATTTACTTGCAAGGATGTAAGAAAGGAAAAAACCTCATTTCTTTTCTTCCTGTCTTCAAAAACAATTTAAAAACTACCCCATCATTCAAACAGTATCTAAAAGTTTAAATGTCTGGCTACCTCATAATTTTCTAAAACCTACTTTTTCAAAATGTTTACTTCATTTTTGTTCACATAGAAGATAATTTGTTCAATCTTAGGAAGTCCTATGAGAATATTAACTGTATTGCGAAAGGCCAAAGTTTAAAAATTAAACAGCCAACTTGAGAAGCAAACAACCTGTTAAAAGCAGAATTGGCATAATTTAGCAGAAATATCTGTATCAGTAGGGAGGAATTCAGAATGGGAGAAAGGCAAGATAGTCTTAACATTTAAGCCTGTTCACAAAATCAAATTACAATACTTAATATTTTGTTCTTTAAAAGACGATAAAAATAATAGAACTAAAAGTTCATTATTACACATGTGAATATCTGCAGGAAATTCTTCCTTCTTCCCTGCCATTTCTCCCTATACTTCTCCAACTCCACACACGATGCACAAAGAAAATTTAAATACAAAATGTTAAAAGTAATTGAAAGCCTTAAAATTAAATTTGCATATAGAGGCATTCCAATTTTTTAGCACATCAGAAGAAGTTATATCAAGGCCTCATTTTTTCTAGGGTGGGAATGGGGTGGGTGGGTGAGGTTTCTTCCAGGATAACCACACGTCCTTTCCGAGGCAGAAGTTAGAGACCTAAGATTTAGCTTGGAGAAACCAGGGTACGCACAAACGATACCTAAGTAGTAATGCCAGGGAATGGCATGCGGAGGAAGGACGGATTACAAATGAAGAAGAAAGAAGTTTCTTACTTTTTTTTAAACTTAAACTTATTTTCTTTCTTTTTTTTAGGCGTCTCGCTCTGTCGCTGGGCCCAGGTGCAGTGGCACGATCTCGGCTCACTGCAACCTCCACGTCCCGGGTTCAAGGGATTCTCAGTCTCCCGATAGCGGGAACTACAGGCGCACGCCACCACACTCAGCTAATTTTTGTATTTTTGGTAGAGACGGGGTTTCACCATATTGGCCAGGATGATCTCTATCTCTTGACCTCGTGATCCGCCCACCTCGACTTCCCAAAGTGCTGGGATTACAGGCGTGAACCACCTCACCCGGCCAATCTTATTTTATTTAATAGGCAAGCAAACAAAAAAAGAGAGGAGCTCAGAGGCAGGCGCTTCCTCCGAAGTCCAGGTTTCTAAGGAAAGCAGCCCAACCTGGAAAAAAAAAAAAAAAAAAAAAGATAATGCAGGACGAAAAGGACTGAAGACAGAACTAGGGAAGTAAGAGGAAAAAAGCGCGGGCGATCCAGCTGGTAATTTAATGATAGGAGGAAGGGAATAAAGAGGGCGAATGAGGGACAGATCCTTAAAGAAATCTAGAAGGGCAACCCCCCCAACTGGGCGCCCGGAGAAGGCCAAACACGCCAGCAACAACGGGAGTGCTTTCTAATTCTTTGCTCCCGTTTTCTACTTTCACATATGAATGAAAGTGGACAACTCCAGAGCAGGGTGACTTTCCTGTCCCAATCCCGCCCGCGCTCCAGAAAAGGAGCTCGCGGTTCCGAGCTCCTTCGCTCACACCTCTTCTCTCACACAAGGACTGCCACCTCCAGACCAAACAGAAACGGGTCTAGGGGCTTCCTTGGCCGTTAGGAAGTTGTATATACAAGCCTAGCATCCTTTCTCAGACTTTCTCCTCCCCCCTTTGAGAACGTGAGCGAGGTCGGCGCTACAGGGATTTCTCCCCGCCCCGCTCGGTTTATTCCCCACCCCACCCTCTGTTCCCCTTTCTTGGAGTGTGAACCACCTCTCCCTTCTTGGGACTCTTAGGGACGGTTCCAGTCACATTTTTTTTTTTTTTTTTTTGTACAAACACTGAATGCGGTCTGCACCGGGCGCAGTTCCGTGAGGGGTGTAAATCTGAGGGAAAGGAACGAGGAATTCCAAAGGCCCCGCACCCTCAGCGTCTCCCGCCATTTCCCTGACGAGTTTCCCGGATGTAACCCCTTCCCCCGCAGCAGTTTAGACACCACGGTGGCGGCTCCCTTTGGTGCAGGAGGAGGGAACTCGAGTCTGGTCCAGCCTCCGCTGCCCGGAGTTTCCGGGGACTCCAATTTGTGCCCCACCTTCGAGGCCATTGGGGAAAAATAAACTACCCAGTAGATCTCCTTACTTTGCACTCACCATCAGTTCCAGCTTATCGACCTCCGCCTCCATGTTGAATAGTTGACATTCCTCAGACCGCGGCGGCGCTTAAGCCGCAAGCCATACTAGCATGGAGGGCCTCCATTGGACAGCTGTCACTCAACGTCTCGCACTCATTGGCTCCTCCGTTCCACCGGCTCCCGCCCATTGGCGACTGGGTAACGCCCTTCTACATGAGACACATTTTCCTGTTGGGCAGACACATTTTCCTGTTGGGCAAAGACACAAGACGCCGCAGGAGGATTGGCTGCTGTGCACATTTTTTTTTCCATTGGCTGCCCCCTCCTCTCTACTTTCAATTTTATTGTTAGGGCTCAGCAGAGAAGAGCTTGCGATTGGTGCAATCGAAAGAAGAGCCGACCAATCACACGAGAGCTTCCGCCGACAGCAGAGGGGACGTAACACACCTTCTTTCCTCTCCTGCTTCCCCTCCCCTTCTCTCCCGACTTCCCCTTATTCATACCAGAAGCGCCTCAGCTCTGATTGGCCAGGACACTGTGCTATCTCAGCCAATCACAAGCCAGGCTGTGCTCCTACACTATCCGAAGAGCGAATCATGCAGAAACCGTGTCTACGATTGGTCCCTCCCTGACAAGTATTTAATTTTGAATTTTTCTTTATGGCGTGGGAGAGGCTACAACCCGGACTCCATCGACTCCCCCGGCTCTTAGACTAGTAAGTGCAGGGATGATTATTTCTTTGTTATCCAAGCTCGCGTCTTGAGTAGCTGAGCCTGTTGCTGCTTGTGTTTTTACAGTTTAAGGAGTTGGGGACTTTGGCTGGACACGGAGGGGAAATGGAAAAAGGAAGAGGAGGTTTGGGGCTGGGGAAGAAGTGCTCGGCCTGGCTTCATCTTAAGCATACTTCTATTTAATTAACACTAAGCAAAATATGTTTTAGAGCAAAGCATCTGCCTTCCTTTTGAACACTTCTTTACATGTTTACTGCTCAAAGTCACAGATCAGCGACATCCGCATCTCTTGGTTGCTTATTACAAATGCAAATTCTCGGGGTCCACCCAGATTTACTGAATCAGAATATGCATTTTAACAAGATTTCCCTCAGTGATTTCTATGCACATTAAAGTTTTAGATGGTACGTTTCTTGACTGAGAATATTACTATGTTACTCGGTATTGTCTGACATTCTGTTAGAGTGTCAATTTTAAAAGTGTGTCCTGTTTACTGAGTGCCTAATACTGTGCGGGTCGAGACTTTAGGGAGCTGCAGAAACAAGACAGGAACAAAAAGAAGAAAAAAAGCTTCTTTTTCTTTTTGCAAAAACAGCATAAAATGTAAAATTAAATATAAGTAAGTACCCGGAAATAATGCTATGGGTGTTCAAGAAGAATCAATTGGGCTGGGCGTGGTGGCTCACGCCTGTAATCCAAGCAATTTGGAGGGCAAGGCGGGTGATCACCTGAGGTTGGGAGTTCAAGACCAGCCTGACCAACATGGTGAAACCCCGTCTTTAAAAAAAAAAAAGAAGAATAAATTGAACTGGTAATGGAAATTAAGCAATCGAAGGCTATTTATGGAGGAGTGCAAGAGACCTCCATAAAAATGTGTTTTAGAAAGATGGCAATGAAATGCAACAGTCATTTCTGTTGTTGCCACAGCTTTGAACGTACCCCAGAGCAAATAACTCTTTTTTTTTTTTTTTTTTTTTTTTTTTGAGAAAGAGTCTCACTCTGTCGCCGAGGTTGGAGTGCAGTGGCGCGATGTCGGCTCACTTCAACCTCCGCTTCTCAGGTTCAAGAGATTCTCCTCCCTCAGCCTCCTGAGTAGCTGGGACTACAGGCACATGCCACCATGCCCAGCTAATTTTTTTACTTTTACTAGAGACGGGGGTTTCACCATGTTGGCCAGGATGGTCTTGATCTCATGACCTCCTGATCCACCCTCCTCGGCCTCCCAAAGTGTTGGGATTACAGGCATAAGCCACTGCGCCCGACCATCACTGCCGTTTATGTAAGTCAGTTTCATATGGTTTAACCTAATATATTGGTGAAAAGGGTCCAGTGTTTGTCTACTATCTTTCCTCTCAGCTTCTGACTTTGAACATAGAACATAAGCAGCTAGATGTCTTTATATATCCTATTGTCACTCCTATAATCAGATCCACATCCCCTAGACAGTTGCAATAGGCTTATAAGTGGTCTCTTTGCCTTCAGTCATGGTCCCATAAATCAAATTTCCACAATGCTGCCAAAGCATTCTTTCTAAAAGACAAGTATGAGCATGACAGTTATCTGCCTAAAATCCATTATTGTTTCTGATGTCTTGGTCCTTATCCACCTTCCAGCTTCATTGATCCCAAACAAAACTTTATGTTGCAGGATATGCTTTAGTCACAATGAGTCCTTTCTGTGATTCCCCTGACATAACTTTCTGTGAAATGTTTCCATGTTATTCCCTCTGATGAGATGAGTCCTCCCCAGGTCCACCTTAACCTAGCCCCTTCATCGAAGCTCAGCTTAAGGAAAACCGTTTCCAAAAACCTCAACTCTATGAAAGAGTTATGTACCTTTGCTTTTTTTCTCCATTAACATATACATTTCCCATCATAACCCATACCATATTATATACCCATTTACTTTCTGCTTACCCATGTCTCCCCACTATAAACTCTTGGAGGGTAGGGATGTGTCTTGGTCATCTTCATAGCGAGTTATCACTATATGTTGAATTAAACTTAACTTCTGTATTTTGTTTTATTTTATTTTATTTTTTTTTGAGACGGAGTTTTGCTCTTGTTACCCAGGCTGGAGTGCAATGGCACGATCTCGGCTCACCGCAACCTCCGCCTCCTGGGTTCAAGCAATTCTCCTGCCTCAGCCTCCCGAGTAGCTGGGACTACAGGCACGCACCACCATGCCCAGCTAATTTTTGTATTTTTAGTAGAGACGGGGTTTCACCATGTTGACCAGGATGGTCTCAATTTCTTGACCTCGTGATCCACCCACCTTGGCCTCCCAAAGTGCTGGGATTATAGGCGTGAGCCACCGCGCCCGACCTAACTTCTGTATTTTAAAAAATCAGATATAGTAATCTCAAGCAGTAAAAAAAAAAATCATAAAAAAAAAATGATAAAACTTACTGCCTGCCAGGAACTGTAAATACTTTACATGATTTACTCATGTACTCCTCAAAACTTTCAAGTAACTTCCTGTTAATATTATTAAATTGTGCCAGGTGCTGTGGCTCACGCATGTAATTCCAGCACTTTGGGAGGTGGAGGCAGATGGATCACGAGGTCAGGAGTTGGAGACCATCCTAGCCAACGTGGTGAAACCCCATTTCTAAAAATAAATAAATAAATAAACAAACAAACAAACAAACATACATACATATATATTATTAATTCGCAGGGGAGGAAACTGGCACAGAAAGGTTAAAAATCTGTTGAAGGTCATAAATAATTTATGACAGTATAGTAGAGCCATGATTTGAACCTATGCAGTATAACTCCCTGGTCCTCATCCTTAACCCCTACAGTATACTTCCTCTTGTTTTTTGTTTGTTTGGTTGGTTTAATTTTGGGGGCGGTTTCTGAGGCAGAGCTTCATTCTAACTTTTATGTTTTTAGTAGAGATGGGGTTTCACTGTGTTGTCCGGGTTGGTCTCGAACTCCTGACCTCAAGTGATCTGCCCGCCTTGGCCTCTCAAAGGGCTGGGATTACAGGTGTGAGCCAGCATACCTGGCCTATAATATTGTCTTTATTATTGCTTGATTTGTTACCAAGAGCTCCAGATATAGTTTTCTGGTTCCTTAGCCTAAAAATCTTTTCTTAGTGAAAAGAGGATATAAGTAAAAATGAGAGTAATTTCTAGAGATCGTAGAATTACTTAGGATATATTTATGTTGTTGTTTTTTATTTATTTTTTTTTTTATTTTTTTGGAAATAGTTTCTTGCTTTGTCTTCCAGGCTGGAGTGTAGTGGTGCAGTCATGGGTCACTGTAGCCTCAAACGCCTATGCTTATGCCAGCCTCCTGCCTCAGCCTTCGGAGTGGCTAGGACTATAGGTGGGCCACCACTATGGGCTTTTTTTTTTTTTCTTTTGGTAGAGTTGAGATTCTCACTATGTTGCCCAGAGTGGTCTCAAATTCCTGGACTAAAGGGATCCTCCCACCTCCACCTCAGCTTCCCAAAGTGCTGGGAATTACAGGCATGAACCATCGCCCCTGGCCTGTATGTTTTTGTTTCTAATGATTTTTCAGATTATTTGAGAAAGCAGTGTAAGAAAAAAATTAGTTTTAAAAATACATAGGCCAGGCACAGTGACTCACGCCTGTAATCCTAGCACTTTGGGAGGCTAAGGCAGGCAGATCACCTGAGGTTGGGAGTTCAAGACCAGCCAGACCAACATGGCAAAACCCTGTCTCTACTAAAAATACAAAAATTAGCTGGGTGTGGTGGCACGCACCTGTAGTCCCAGCTACTGGGGAGGCTGAAGCAGGAGAATCGCTTGAACCTGGGAGGTGGAGGTTGCAGTGAGCCAAGATTATGCCACTGCACTCCAGCCTGGTGCCTGGTGACGGAATGAGACTCTGTCTCAAAAAAAACCAAAAAACAAAAATTAGCCAGGCCTGTTAGCATGCGCCTGTAGTCCCAGCTACTTGGGAGGCTGAGGCAGGAAAATTGCTTGAACCCGGGAGGCAGAGGTTACAGTGAGCCAAGATCATGCCACTGCACTCCAGCCTGGCCAGGTGACAGAGCAATACTCCATCTCAAAAAAAAAAAAACAAAAACAAAAACATAAGGGCTGGGTCCAGTGCTTCACACCTGTAATTTCACCACACTGGGCGGTTAAGGCCAGTAGATTGCTTGAGCTTAGGAGTTTGTGACCAGCTTGGGCAACATGGTGAAACCCTGTCTCTACTAAAAATAGAAAAACCAGCCAGGCATGTGGGTGCACCCTTGTAGTTGCAGCTACTCAGGAGGCTGAGGCAGGATTGTTTGAGTCCAGAAGGTCAGGACTTCAGTGAGCCAAGATCGTACCACTGCACTCTAGCACGGGCAACAGAACAAGCCCCCGTCTGAAAAAAAAAGGAAAAATGTTTTAAGGAATCACAAAAGAATGAGTTTGTATTCATTGTTAACAATTAAAATCTCACCTAATCCAGCAAAAAGAATGTGTAGGTCTCATTACCCTTTTGGAAAGGGGATAAGTATATATATTCTAAGCAGAGGAAGACTCCTATATACTCTTTCAATTTGGGCAATTATCCTCTGGAAAGTACCTAATGCTTTTAATACAGTAATGATACTAAAAAAAAAATCCTGTGGCCGGGCGCGGTGGCTCAAGCCTGTAATCCCAGCACTTTGGGAGGCCGAGGCGGGTGGATCACGAGGTCAAGAGATCGAGACCATCCTGGTCAACATGGTGAAACCCCATCTCTATAAAAATACAAAAATTAGCTTGGCATGGTAGTGCGTGCCTGTAATCCCAGCTATTCAGGAGGCTGAGGCAGGAGAATTGCCTGAACCCAGGAGGTGGAGGTTGCAGTGAGCCGAGATCGCGCCATTGCACTCCAGCCTGGGTAACAAGAGCAAAACTCTGCCTCAAAAAAAAAAAAATCTTGCTTTTTTGAGTTCTTGTTCTAACTGAGGTAGAAATTTGCTATTCTCCACTTTTGCAAGAGCTGTGATTATTTTTGGGTGGAACAACTAT